ATTATAAATTTATAATCACATATAATTAATTAAGTAAATTCATACAATATTACAAACAAATCCATATGATATCGTAATTATATCATTTTTTTATTAAAAAATGGGTTTCTCTATTAATTGCATCTTTTTCTTTATAATTGTTGTTAAAAATAAAAAATAAAAATGGATTTCAATTTTATCAACTGCGCAATTAAAATTAGACACATGTTATTAATGTTAAAAACAAAATTAGCTTTTGCTTTTGCCTTTTCTATACAAATTAATGTAGAAAATATACAATTAATGCATTATTAACTTACAACTACCGTTTACAGGTGCAACTCCTGTATTCTGATGCAGAAATCTCATCAATAAACCCAAGTTTATGTATACAAAATTTTCACAAATCAAACCCAAAAACGACTCACATTTATGGAAAAAAAAAAAAAAAGCCTAGATTTTGACCAGAGGAAATTATGGAGAAATCTGTTCATTCAAGATGTTCACAATGAAGACATCTGGTTCATACATTAATCATCTAATATAAAATCTCAAACTAAACTCAAGGAAAGTAGTCATGAACACAATCAAAGAGCATGATGTAAGATCAGTTCTGGGTCAATCCGAATGAAGTAAAAATATGAGTTTAAACATTGAATCGACAAATCAAAACCAAAAGTCTCTAATTTCCCTTATCATGCATAATTAGTGTAAACATTTTTTTATAGTCTTAATCGCCCCAAATCTACTACACCAAAATTTCAGTTGTCCATCTGTTCAAAAAAAAAAAAAAAAACTAAAAAGGCAAACTAAGAGACCAAAATGAACACAAAAGAACCCAGGCAATAAAACTAAGGAAATCACCATAGATTAGAAAACCATAAGGAACCCATCAACCCCAAACTGTTCAACCTCAAATCTGAGCAAATACAACATTGGATCCAACTAACCCCGGAAAGCAGCGCAAACGGAGCCATTGACCAAGCTGTCAAAGTCGTCGCCATAAAGGAGTTTTAAGGCACCAAAACATGCTGGGTTAAGAAGATCCAACCCATGAACGAACGACAGATTTTGGTTTCCCATCTCAAAAAAACCTATGCAGGATGTAAGAGAAAGGATGGAGGAGAAGAAAGAAACTGTACAGGGAATTAGAGAGAACCGAATGAAGAAGATGAGAAGAGGGGAAGCAGATAACGAAGAAGTTTGGGGAAGATGGGGAGGACAATTTTGTAATTTTGAATTTACAATTAGTTTTTATTAATTAAATGCCAATTTTGGAGAGGCAGAAAATGCTGCATCATTAAAAAAACATGTTTTCTTTTGCATGTCATTGATTTTATTGCCCCCTAACTTCTGACACGACAAAAATTGGTAACTAAAATTGAAGTTGAGGGGCCAATTGATGCCTTTTGAAGTTTAAGGACGGATTTGGTACAAATCTAAAAGTTGACGGACCAAATTGGTATTTTAACCAAAGCAGAAACCACAATAGAATTGGGTAACCCAGACGTACAATTTTTATGCAACTTGACTACAAGGGAAAGATATTTTTGGGTATAAATTTTAATTGCAATCTACTTCAAAGGGTATACAACATAATATTAATCAATCTATAAGTTAATGCATCATTGTACAATCAAATCAAACTAAATTGCAAACTATAACAAACCATCTACAAAATGCAAGACCCAAATATCAAAGTTTCCTACCCTGCCAAGCAGAATACCAAGATTATTCCAAGTTAAAATAAACAAGAAAGATTTGAATTGATTTGCATGACAATATAAAACCTAAAAAATACAAATTCAAAAGAAAAACATGACTACATGAATGTTTAATCAATATCTCAGATACCATCCAAACCAATGGGAAAATATATGTTAGCAGAGCAGAAAACTAGAAATGGAGGAGAATAAAACCTGCTATGATTTCAATACACCCTGAATCAGAAGCCTGTCAAATTCAAGATGACACTCATATACCTCATCGGATACTGGAGCCCAAAGGTTAGCTAACTTCCAACGGAGAGACCCTAACTCCTCCAAAGTGTCTCCCTGAGAGTGAGCAAGGGAAAGAAAGGGACTAAGACTAGATTTGAATTAATTCAACAAAGTATATAAACGTTAAAAACCAAAAAATGCAGTTATACATACCTTTTCTGCATTAAGCTTTTTAATGGTGGTATTGAGGTCAACTTCCCAGTGCCCCTTATCATATCCCGTCTGACATACTTTTTTCAGCTCTGGAGCGTGTATCTCACCGTCAGAGAAAATCTCCAATTTAGGGCATTCTTTTACAATCAATTCATCCATATGTGGGAAATTGATGGAGTAATTCCTTGGGCTGAAACTATTGAGGCTTGGTAACCATTGGAGTCTAAGAGACCTCAGTTGTTTAAATTCAATTTTCTTCTCCCCTTCTTCGCCCTTACATGCTATGATTTTTATATTCTTGCAATCAATTATGGTCATTCTTTTGAGTTGTTTCATGCTGTTAGCTATTGAGGGAGTTACTAAATATTCTAATTCATGACATCTTGACACCTCCAAAGTCATCAAACTACGGAAAGATACCAAAGAAGATACTAAATTCTTCAATTTGTTGCATTCAAGTAAATTCAATGTTTTCCGGTTTCCGAGACTTGATCCATGTTGAGCAGGTGCAAGATTTTTGTCATCATTAGAGGAAGAGGGTTGGCTGTTGTTTCTTCCCATGTTTTCCAAAGTAGAAAATAATCAATGTTTCCAAGTTGGGAAGACTGACCTGCATAGTTCATGCCAACAGTGAAAAAGATGTACAGAGTGCTACTTCATGTAAATTCTGTATAAATATAAATATGAATATATATATATATATATATATAGAAAAGAAGAGAATAGTTAAATGATCTATTTCTACTGAAGAGGAGTTGTTACCCAAGAAGGTGCTATATATTCGAAAATAAGCTCTCGTACCATATGCAATTGGTGATCAATGCATATCAAAACACACAAATATATTAGAAATAGAAAAGCAACGTCAAGAGCAAAGAAAAATGACATAAGCATGGTTCACATGTAACGACTAACATGTCCTACCAATGACAACAAATTTTTAACCTATTCATAGGTTGCTGACCAAAAAAGAAAAACTATTTATATGTTGTGAATATACAAAACTCATTAATTTTACATACATGCATAAAAGTATATTATTACTACCATGACATGATTACATATTTACATATTACATGAACTTATATAGAGAAGTCTCTAAACATAACAACATAATTATAAGTCCATAAGTAACTAACCAAGGATGGGGCAAGCTTTGATGAATCTCACCTTTAAAACAAAAATTCTAGTGATATAAAAATTTCACACATCGCACTGTTTATCAGTCCTTTTGAGGTCTCAGAAGATAACAAACTATGATTCAACCGCTCGTGATGAATCAAGTTTACTCATCTCAATATTCTAGGAACCCCAAATCCTTCTAACCTAATTATCTAATCCAACAAAATCCAATAGAATCTCGTCTGCAAAATGGACTTTCTACCTATAACAAGAACGTTTAAACAATTACAAAAATATCTCCATTAATCAAACTTCCATCATGCATTCTCAAGAATATGGTCAATCTATAATCTTTCCAGTAGCATAATCAAGCATAACTTGAGATTGACTAATATATCAAGTAGCTAAATTCAAGCATAATGCATTCATAATACCATACCCTCAAGGCACTTGAGGTTCATAAATTCCCCATAAATTTTCAAATATAATAATCAAACTTGAAAACAAAAGGTACAATAAGATAAACATGGTGGATGTGTGTATTCATCTTAATTTGTCACCAGCAAAATTCACAATCAAGGGTCTGAAGTGCCCAACATATTCAAGTAAGATTTACAATTTCATACATAAGTTATAACCCTTGATAATATCTTAAATTTTCGACTTTCACAAGACCTTCAAAAGTAGTCCTTTTCACCATTTTCCAACTTTTGAACCATTTCTTACATACTTTAATTACACAGAATTAATACAAAGCAACCAAGCAATAGTCATTCAAAACCCTTTTTCCACTTTCATATATCCATCCGTATTAATCCATGATTTTCCACCCTTGTATGCATAACTTGTTCAGAACATCAAAACCATACTAAAAATTTACAGATACATAAACATGAAGATATCTACTGTATGTATCTAAGGTCTGAGTACAGTAAGAGAGAAAGTGGAATTTTACCTAAAGAAAGTATTACAAT